ATCCATGTTAGTATTTACATATGTTAATTATGTTATTTACATATAACATAATTTGAATCATGTGGATCGTGTCATTTAAAACTCTATTAACCAGACTTAAAAAAATTCACTCCATACACTGTTTTTTTTTTTGTAAATTTTATTTTATATGTATTTTACATCATTCTTCCTTTTTGTATATTGTATGCTTTCTCCCTTCAGGCATACACTAAGTTTAACAAACTGTTACTCAGTTTAAAATGTTTTTAGCGTCGGGCCTCCTCTGGTGGTGCAGTGGTTGAGTGCTGGGCTGCGAAGCTGCCTGCAGCCTCTGCAGCACCAGATTGATCCCTGCCACCGGCCAGGGCCCCACATGGCACAACAGACCTCTCCTGCCATGCCCGCTGCCTCCCCTCAGCAGTGTGTTTCGTCAGTCTGCCTGTTCTGTTTCCCACTCTGGCTTTGGTAAATTCTCTCACCCTCCTGTGCTTCTGACTGTACCCAGTGCTTGTATAAATAAATAAATAAATCTTAAAAATATTTAAAGTAGTATTTTAAAGAAACATAGTCATAATTAATTGTGGTTTCTTGAACCTAGATAACAGGTTCGTCCCATTGTTGGATGGACCATGTGACAGAAAAGCTCCTCAACACTTGATCTACAGATGCTGACCCCAGAGCAGAGAGCAGAGTAGAAAGGACAAGCTCAAAACTCAGGAAGTCTTACCTTAAAATAAAGGTTTGTAATTGAGATTTTAGGATAAACTAAACAACTGAGACAGGCTCTTTGAAGGTAAAGGGACAGTGAGTCTCATGGGAGATTTCTCTGAGGAGAAAAGAGGAAAAAATAAAAAGATGTTCCAGGAATCTGGGAAGGAGCCAAATCAGAGAAAGGAAAAGTGATGGGGATGGTCACAGGCCATCCCAGAGGGGTTGCAGGGCAGCTCGTGCAGCAGCACCAGAACCAGACACCAAAGGGTCACCTGGTGGTGGCACAGATGATAGTTTTGGGGAGTGACTTGTGTGTGCAGCCTTCACGATTTGAAGATTAGGGCCTGAGTAAGGGTGTTAGGATCTACTCAGGTGGAACTGCAGCCAAGGTTGGTGCTGAGGAGGCTTGAGAAGCCACCACCTGAGTTAAGCAGCAGCACACCTCGAAGGTCTGCATTCGGGAAAGGTGGTTTTGAGCTCACAAAATACAGTTTTAGGCTCCACATGCTGGAGCATGGCCTCCTCGATTCAAACTGTGCTCTGTCTCCTGTTGGCACCATCCTTTGGCAAACCGTTTCACCTCCCATCATCTAATCTAAAAATGTAGACAACAATGTTTGGCTTCACAGACTGGCTATGATGAATAATAAATAAGTTATTATAGGAAAAGCACTTAGAACAGGACTTGACACCTAACAAGCACTATATATTAAATGTTAGGCATTATTATATACCCTTTATGTATTTATTTAAAAATTTTTTTTAAAGATTTATTTATTTATGCATATAAGAGCTGGGGTATAGGCCAGAGATGTGGGGGGTAAGAGGATCCACCAGCGACACAGTGGGGAACAGAACAGGCAGATTGACTGAAATACACTACTGAGGGGAGCAGCGGGCGAGACAGGAGAGTTCTGCCTTACCATGTGGCAGAAATCTAACTGGCCAGAGATCTAACTCATGCTGCAGAGGCTGTGGATTGCTTCATAGTGCGGTGCTTAACCCCTTGCGCCACCAGGGAGGCCCTATATGCTTTTTAAATAGCTAATGTTTTATGTCTAGGCTGTATATGCTATTTAATTGAACTTTTAAATATATTTTAAAGGGAACAGAGCTTGTTTCACATTTAGACATATTTGGGAGTGGGGGGGAGGAAAAATATCTGCTACTTTACTTGGGAGAAATTGAGGAAACTGACCAAGAGTAATTAAGGTAAAATACTAGGTGCTATGTAATTTGAAAGTATATTAAATATAGTATGAGATAGGACATGTCCTGTTGAATTACAGAAGAAAATATTAGTCAATAGTAGAATAAACAGAGAGGGTTTCATGGAAAAGACAATAGTTGTCTGAAGTCTGAGGGGATAGATCAGACTGACAGTTAGATCAGACTTACCCTCCATTCTAATAACTATGATTCTTTGGAAGCATTTCTAATGATGCTCTAAATATGAGATAAATAGACAAAGAAGGGATAAATGTACATCAAAAAAGTGCTCCATGCGGAAAAGAAAAATATTCACTTAGGAGCAGTAAGTGGCGGGATAGCTAACCCTGATAAAAACAATCAGAAGTAATAGATAGGGAATGGCAAGTCAAAGATAACTATTGAACAGAAACATGAACTGCCCCATTTTAGCTGACTAGATGCCTCTGAAGACTGCAATGGAGAACAAGTTCTTCACCATAAAATTGTAGAAAGAAGTATAAATACCGGAAAATGACATCTCAAAGTGGGAAAATTAGCCTGACAGAGACATGCAGGCAGGGTAATGAGGTCGAGCTCATGGCCAGGAGGTTACTGGCTTCAGATATATTTCCCACTTTAATTCATGTCCTTTTGAATGGGAAAGGGAGATAAGTCAACTTAGGCAAACTCACCTGTCTCTGAGTTTCTGCCTTTCACAGATCTGTATGTGACAGATGAAGTCAGAATGGGAGAGATGGGTATCAGGCAGACAAAGCCTATTTATATTTTCCCTGTGATCAGAATCTAAAAGCTTTTTCATTCAATACATAGTATTTCCTTTCATTTTTAACAGTAGGGGGGACAACTATTGTAAAGTGCAGCACTAGGACTGCTTTGTGGAGCAGACACATCTTGAACACAGACTACAGCCTAGTCACATGTTTCCTCCCTCCTTTTCAGCCCTCTCCATCCTCATCCCCCAGTTCCCAAGCAGACCTTGGGATGCATCAATCATTGTGTCTGCTGTCCTGCAGGTGGCTTTAAAGAAAGGCATGCTTTATCTGACTATTAATTGTGTTGCTTTATATTCCTGTATTAGTGACACCATCCGGTATTTATCTTTCCCCTTCTGACTTATCTTGCTTAACATTATCCTTTCAAGCTCTAACCCTTGATATATGACTACAGAATGAGACACCAAGGGGGGAGGCCGTGGTGGAGGGTAAAAAATAGGAAGGGAGGGAGGGAGGCATGATGGTCCATGGTGTTGAAGTATGGATGAGTTGGTGGTGGATGCACGCTTGTAATACCTGACGGTGGTACCCCAATGTTACCTCATTTATAGCTAGCTAGCTAGATAGATAGATATCCTGTAGATAAAATTAAAGTGATGTTTTTCTGTAAAAAAAAGAAAGGCAACATACTCAGAATCCAAAGGATTAGCCTGAGGGTGTTATTTTTAGTCCCATGTGAATCTACCTATATTGGGTGGGAGTTAATTGGACCAGGATGGGCAATTAACTGATTCCCTCTGAGCTTGGAAGGACCTGCCAGCTCCGTGATAGAGGTCCTTTTGCTTTTTCTTAGGCAAGGCTGTTAGCTTTTCCCTGCATTTTTCATACAAGTCCCTGGACCCAGTAGTTGAGGTAACTTGAGAGTTCCTCATTCTTGAAATCAAGGATTTCAACCACTTATGCAAATCTTCAAGCTAGTCTCTTTTACCAACTAATATTTGTGGCTTTTATAAGTGCATATAAACAAATGCTACTTCCAGAGGTACTTTTACTGCTATGGGGCATTTTTTAAGATAGAAAAAAGCAAAACAAAACTCTACCAAACTTCTCTAAGTAATCTCTAATAATAGAATTTCTGAAACAAACTAGCTAACAGGAAGGTATGTTTTGGGCAGGGGCTTTGCTCGGTTTTCCTTAATCATATCATATAGTTTCCAATATTAAATTGAAGAAACCCTGGATCAAAACCCTAACTCTGTTCTTACTACATCTTTAATCACGGGAAAGATCCTTAATTCTTTTGAGCTCAGTTTTCTCATTTGTTTGTTTGTTATTGGTATAAATAAACTCTCAGGGCTCTTTGAGCTCTAATATTTAGTTCTTGGATTCCACTTAGCTCAGGTTATCCTGCCATGTAGCATCTTAACAAAACCCAAGAGCCACAAAAGCAGCTGATCCATTAAAGTTTATGAAACGGAGATCCTTTACAGAAGTGAAATTCTTTAAGTGTATTCTTTAAAACATCCCCATGAACTCCCACTATTCCCTTGGAATGGGACAAGATTCATCTATCTGCACTCTGGAAGCTGGAAAAAAATAACAATCCCTGTGTAGCAAAAGTTTTATTATAAGCATCATTTACTTCAAAAGGAAAAAATTATACATTCACTAAAAAAGAGTATAATCTGTTTTCCAATTTCCAGTTCAAAATATTAAAACAATTAAAAATTAGACATAAGACTCAATGTTAAGAAATTACAGGAAAAATACTGCTCTACTTAAACTGTTTACTAGGATAATAATTACAATTAACATTTATTGAGCCTAAAATAGGCTAGGAATTATGGTGTGCCTTAAAAATTGAAGTTCAAAAGGGTCTTATATTATAAAATAAAAGTTGGGGTCTAATTATATTCACTGTATTCTACTCGGACTCTTACCTTGATACACTAGTATTTTCCTAGACTTGCTTAATAAAAAAAGATTAATAATAAGATAGTCACCAAATGTTCCAATATTTGTATTATCTTAGAGATGAAAGGAGTGAGTTCTTATCTCATCATAAATCTCTTTTTCCAATTTGTTTTTTTGGACATAGTTCAAGTAGAACAACCAATTTATTTATGTCAGCCTTTGCTCTTTTCACTGACCTCTTATTGAACAATGTATTAGATGAAGAGGCTGGTTAGAAAACAATAGCATGCCACAGAAACCCTGACTAAGGTTCTCTATTAGACATTCACATTGCTCTCTCATTATCCTTGGCAAAGAAGATACAAGTTGGTCCTAGAAATGACAGTTTATACTCATTACTGTTCATATTGAAATCAGCTTAAGTGTAGAACATGTGTCTGTACACATAAATGTATCTATAGTTAATCTTACTTGGTAAAATAACTTGTTGCTTCCAAGTCTGTGTCTTGTGGTCGAAGATTACTGTACACATATTTCAGGTCCTGGATTCCATTAAGCTCAGGTAATCCTGCATGTAGCATCTTAACAAAACAAACACATGAATAAGGCAAAACAGAATAAATGAGGATCAAATCTTACATGGTTAAGTTTGATTACATTTACTTGGTTAATTTTACTGTTAGGTATAAACTTAAATTTACATAGCAACACCTTTCAGTTTGCAAACATTAATGACAAAAAGTTCATGTTTTTAACCTCCCATATTTAAGTAGTAGCAGAAATAATAATAAACAGGAATGACTAAAATTATCAAAGTGCTTGCATATTAATAATCTTCATCATAATTTACCATAATCCATAAACCATGATAATAGTACTATCTTCATCTTGTTTACTTTGTAGAGGCAGCATATTCAGCATGTGACAACAGAAATAATAACTCCAGTGGTAGAATTTCTGGATCCAGTATTTAAAATCTGAATAATCCTGAAAATGTCTCAATTTCTTTGAGTCTTCATTTTCTCATTTTTAAAGCAGATATAAAAATACCCAACATTTTTTTGGAGACTCCAATGACTAATGAACAAGAAAGAGTTTTATACATTATAAATTACTACACAGAAAATATGTTACAATGTCCACTCTAAAGAAGAAAAGCTTTATCCTTCAAAAATTGTAAGTGAACCATTCAGGTCAAATAGTACATAAACGGAGAGATTAAAACTCATCCCTCTGGTTTTTAATGTGATATTCTTTCATGATTCTATGACTCATACAACCAGAAAAAAATGCTTTTTCAATTTAGTGCTGATTGCATTTATTTAAGATTATCAAAGCAATGAAATAGCTAAAGATAAATTATATGAAAGATCAAGTATTTTTCTACTAAGCTTTGGAAAAGCGTTTTGTTTATATTATAGTATAGACTGGAGGGATAATAGTCTCTTCAGTTACAGAAGAAAATCTTTAAGAACAAAACATCTTTCTGAACTAAATATGAACTTTGCGAAAGGAGAACGAGATGAAAGTGGAGGAGGGAAAGAAGAGGTGGAGGGTAAAGGAGAAGGGGTTGGGGGAGGGCAAAGTGGGTGGGGATCTCAGTGACTTGAATGATAATTTCCTGCTCTAGGAATGCAGTATTGTTACAGTGGGAAGTTAAGATTAATGCTCTTAGTCCTAAAAATAAAGGATAAACTGAGAACTTGGTTATGGAGGATGGGTGAAGTTGTGATTCCGTTAATGAAGTTCAAGTGAGAAAAATGGATTTGAAAGGGTTCTCCTGCCATCCCACCCAGGCTGAGGGACTCTGTCAGACATTTCTTTGGAAGTGGAACTTAAACTTACTTCTTCCTTTCCTTGTCAACACACACATACATGCATGCACACGTACATATGCATACACTCACATGCACATATGCACACACACCCCAGGTGCCAAGTGTGGACTGCTTCAAAGAGGATGAACCCCAGCTCTCCCCCTCTCATGTGTCTGAGTAAAGGCACCAAGTGCTAAATTTGCCCTTATTGATGAATTTCATTCCTCAGAGGAGGCTTGGAGTGTGCTGACTCTGCACAGTTGAGTCCACCGAGCCTGTGTGTTCACTGATACCCAGCCATGTGGTTCAGGTGCCTCCTAGACTTGATGGAATGGGCAGCACCTTTAAAGTGGGGCAACAGGAAAGGGAAAATGTGGCTAGTACAAGTGATGAACAAATAAGCTACTTTTTAAAAGACAGGAAAATTTAAAGTTTTCTACTTCTGTTCTACTAAGTCCAAATCTGTTCTGATGGTTATGCTTAGGGAAGCAGACCCTCTTCATCATCATGTAGAGTAGTTAGCAAGATTTCTGCTGGGAAATATCTGATATAATAATGGGTGTGATAAACATTTTAAACTGGGTGAATGGTTCCCATGTTCTTTGAGAATCTTCCATTATAGCTGATATTGATTTTTTTTAATGAGAGAAAAGCTGATGAAATACAGGCTTTTATGTTAGTGAATCCAGCCAGCAACGCTCTTGGGTCTCCTACAGATGTTTTGCTTTTAAGCAAGATGGAAATTTCATGGATTATTTTTCCCACAGCTTTTCCCAGGAGTAAATAAAAAAGTACTGCGGATGTCTGGAAACGTGCTGTTCTCCACCGAGGATGAGCCACTAAATCTACAGTAGACTCACCAGACATTTGTGCCTTGTAAACCTGGGTACTGAACATTTGCAGAAGATAGAAATTATAACCCAGATCAAGTATTTCTCAAGTTATAACTGGGTCATGGAGTAATAGATTGAGTTAACATAAAAGTCAATTTGAGAGAGAATTGGGGGAAATACAGAAAACCCACGTAGGTAGAAAATCATCCTTTGCAAACTTGTATTTTGCTTTTCTTTTTTTGGGGGGGATGCTAAAGAGTCTTTAAATCTTTACTGGTGCTTTGATTATTTACAGAGTTCCAAATGACAGAAACATGAAAAGAAGAAAATCTGATAAATGGTAAGAAACTAATACAACACACTGCTGTTTTATGTGTACTTCTCCATTGGCCTAGTTGGTCCATATTACTTGTGATATCTATTTTAGTTTCTGTGAGAGTCCAAATCTAAGATAGGTCTCTTTCACTGCCAAGTTTTCCTTCGTAATTTATACATCACAACTTGAATAATAAAAACAGGGAGAATTTTTGGATATGCTATATACTAGAAATCATTAATATCTGATTTTAATATTATTTTATGAGAAATTATTTCAGTATTTGATTACAATACCATATGTCCAATTCCAACAATGAAATATTATATAAGCTCTTTAATAATTAATATATGATTTTGCTGAAATACTTTTAAGGAGGGTGGTTAAGTTTATTAAGCAAGAGGGAGCAAAAAGTCCATCAATGGCTTTCTGAATTCATTTTTTCAAAAAGCTCTTTTCACATTTCTTTAACATTAAATGTCAACATCAATTTAGTGTCATCTGAGAAATAGCATAAATTATATTTGTGCTTTTCTGTTCTAGTTTATTTTTGAAATGTCTGTGATTGGTACAAGTAGTTGTTAGAATATGGTACTGCTAGTATGTAGTTATTTTTGGCATTACTGACATTTAGAAATGCTGGGCACCTCAGTCATTGTTGTACATGAAGTTTATCATCCTTATTAAAACAAAAATTATAAGACTCTGAGTCACATATGTTAATGTTCCCTCCATAGTTTCTGGCATATAGTAAGTGTTCATGAGCTCATAGATTCTTGAGTAGAGCCTGCTAGAACCCAAGAGGATATCAGAGTTGATGCTATGTGCATATTTATTATGTAAATGGAGTCAAAGTCATGGATTCAGTCCTTGTATACTTCCCTTTGTAGTATGGACATAGATTATGAATCACAAGCCATCTCATCACCATATGGACTAACAGGATTGTGACTAGAATGCAGATATACCTCTTTTTTGGCTATTATTGGAAACCCAACTTGAAGATTTTGAAGATGTATAGATGCTTATATAGCTAGTTTACATATGAAAAAACTGAAATGATTTCTCATAAAATAATTTCTAGTATACAATATATCCAAAAATTCTCCCTGTTTTTATTATTCACATATGACTAGTGAACATTTGAAATGTGGTCAGTAAGACTAAGGAGTTGAAATACAAATTTTATTCAAAGTAATTAATTAAAATTTAAATAACCATATGTAATATGAGGATATTGTATTGAACAATGCCTTATAGATTAACAAGGATCTAATACAATTGATTAACTAAACCTTATATATGGGAGGAAAGGTGCTAAGTGCTTTATATTATTTGATCAGGTTTATATAAAATGTATATCATTTAATACACACATAGTGTCTGTGAAAAGCTTGCACTGTTAGGCCATTTATTCAGCAACCCTACAAGGTAAATGCTAATATCTTTATTTAATAGATAGATGTAGCCAGTAAATTCCAAGCTAGGGTTCAAGCTCAGGAAGGCCTGACCACCAATCCTATACCCTTACCAACACTGAGTAGAATTGCCACCATCTAAAGACCTACACCAGTTGTTCTTAGTGATTGTACTGATTCCAGACACCATACTGATTTACCAAAGGTGATTCTTTCCTCCAGTTTGCTGCAATTACTAGTGTGTATGTTTGTACTCAAAGACATCACTACATTCTTTCCCCAGAAGATAATTCTAGATCTTTCTGCAGATTCGTCTCCCCTTACCTGTATTTCTGGTTTCCATCTCTATGTATTGGACAGTAAATAAAACATTGATCATTAGAGAGCATGTAGAATCATGACTCAGTAAACCTGATGTATGCTGCTATATGTGCTGTCTCTAGTGAATTGCTACTAAATTACCTTAACATTTTTAATCCTCAATTTCTTAATCTGGAAAATAGGCAAGTGAACAAAGGGTGAGATTGGGAGAGGAAGCCAAGCATCACTGGGTCACCATATTGTGGAAATGAGGTAGTACTTTGGAGGCACTTTTGAAAAATCCTAAAGCATAACACAACTGATACAATTTTATAAACTACTGTCCTTGATATTAAAAAAAATACACACTAAAATAAACTCTCAATATATCAATATTATTGTGAAAGAAGTTTTTGAGAAAATAACTTTAATGTAATGAATTCTTAAGAAATATGTTTCTAAACTGTACAATGGTACTTTTTGTCTGTTCATTGCTTGCCATTTTGAATAGCTCTTTGGGGAACTCCAAGTCTTTAGTAAAAACAGACTACTGAAAGAGAGACATAAATGAAAATTATTATTTTTGTTATTTCCCCAAAAGACTTACCATTTCCAGAAGGTTCAAGAGCAGTTGGCTGTGCTTTCTGACAATGTTATAAGCTCGACAGCAAAGCTCCACAAAATCTTGGAAATGCTGTGGTTTTTTCCCACCTTCTGTAATGAAATACTCCATCTCTGATGTAAAAATAAAGGGGGCTCGGTCCCTATAAACCAAAATTAATAGCAATTGTAAGCCTTAGGAAAAACTGTTAGAAGGTAACATCTTATTTCCATATGATTTTTTTTGTTGTTGTTATTCTCTTTCTACTCTAATGATGAACTTCCTTCATTATGAGAGAGCTGCAGAAACTTGCTAATTGCAGGCTTTGAATTAAGTAGCTACGATGTAACAGAAAGGGGAGCGCAAGTTATTTTATAACACATACAGTGTATCAAATATTTACTTTAGAATGAGAAAATTACACATTAAAAATAATATAAAGGCCAATTAATAATGAAGGTGCTACAGAAAATAAATTTACTGCTGAATTTGAAGTGACAGAACACATCATGTATTTGACCTCATGGTACTTTTCTTTTTTTTTTAAGATTTATTTATTTATTTATATAAGCACTGGGTACAGTCAGAAGTGCAGGAGGGTGAGAAAATCCACCAGATCCAGAGCGGGGAGCAGAGCAGGCAGAAGGACCGAAGTACACTGCTGAGGGGAGCAGCGGGTGGCATGAGAGGTCTGCGCGCCATGTGGGACCCTCACCCGGTGGCTGGGGATTGAACCAGTGCCGCAGAAGCTGTGGTCAGCTTTGCAACCCAGCGCTCAACCACTGCGCCACTGGGGAGGCCCTCATGGTACTTTTCTTTTAAGTATTTTTTTCTTAAAGACTATGTTGACCCATTAGAAACACGTTCTAGGTAAAAGTGAAGGCAAGTAATGCCAAATTCTTTCAGAAAGCAATTTATGAAAAAAAAAAATAGATGTCATCAATTAACTGTCATATGCTTAGGAAGGGAAAAAAGAGGTAGTTACATTTCATTTTACACTAAACCCAATAAAAATACTTAACAGAAGTTTGAACAGACCATGCTGTAAGTAAGGGTGGAAAAACAGGGAAAGAACCAAAGAAACAGTGTAATTTCTACCATTTTATCAGTTTTTCTCATATTCTTTGAGATCTGAGATGAAGCATTAACATTGGCTGATCTAGCACAGTGGACTCTAATTGCTTGCACAGTATTTCAGAGGACATTAATAACTTAAATCTCTTTTGCTGTGGATATTTTATTTTATTACTGCAATTTTTAAAATTGTGTGATCCAGGCTATTACTGAATATCAGGAGGAAAGGACAGTATATCAATAATCTTATGGGACCTGCCGGACCTGCTGTGTCTCAATTTCATTTCTAATATGAGGATAAGTAATATTTAGCTCTTAGAGTTACTGTGGATTAATGAAGTAAATGCACACAGACAGAGTGCTGTAGATTCATGAACTGCATGAGGTGAGGATCTGCAGAGGGCAGCGACTACAGGCTTTGACACCAAATTTATGGTTCTGTTATAGGGCAACCCTGATATAAAACAGGTTGCCTGACTGTGGGTCCTCACCTGCACACTTGAAAGGGACTTACACCACAGGTACCCACAAAAGGTTAAGAAAAAAGGTTATTTATAAGGGAAGGGGAATGAGGAAATGTACAACTCAGGGAAAATAAGAGGGAGATAAAGTCTTAAATGTGTCCTACCTGTTCCGCCAATCTGGAATCCCAAATGACCTGCCAAGACCAAACCTGCCTGGCCAAGAGCACAAACCAAGTGCCCAAGACCCCACTAACATGACTGGTTTTTATTTACAGAGAAAATGGCTGCTTAACTCCACCCTTAGGTCCTCGCAACATCTCTTTGGAGATCATGGGATTTGTAGTTCCCAGTGTCTTGATGGAATGGGGGTGGCATCCACAAAGCCTGTATGGAGTTTGCTCAGGACTTCCTTTCCCCCTAACCACATAGTTCTGTGACCCTGGACATATTACTTGTGCTCCCTGGGCCTCAAGTTCTTTCCCTAACATGGGAATAAGTACATTTGGCTCCTAGGATTGTGAGAAGAGTAAATGGATTGTAGAAGAGCTCAGAGCAGTCTGGCATATAGTAAGCACTCAACAAATGTTAAATAGTGTCTGTTCCCAATCAGTCAAGAGTGTTTTCAGAGCTGAACCTTCTCCTAACTAAATCTCCTTCTCTCTTCAAAAATGCCACCAGTAAAATCTCAAGCTTCTTCAAGGTTTGATTTATTCCCAGTTGCTCCATGTAATGTCTTTGACTGCATAAGGCTTTAAGTACACTTTTGAATTTGCTAGCATTTTTTATTTATCACCCAGCCATATAGTCATCACTATTCTGACATTTTAATAGTTTTATTTCAGACTTCCATAATCTGAAAAAGTTTGAATTTTATATATAACAATTTTCCAATGTTTTTTTTTTCCTTTTTTATACATTAGCTACATTGAGCGGAGCCTTCAAAGTAATTGTATGTCTTCAACTTTACAACTTTCTGAAATTTTCTCTTCTAACATAAAGGATATGATTTTCTCTCTTTAACAGAGAAAAATAATTGACCAAATTAACTTTTCTTGGAAAGTTTTTGTAGTTATGCTCAAGTTCATGTGATAATGCATTTTCTTCCTCTATGGTAATCACTATTATAAATTAGATGAAAACAGGGCCTCCCTGGTGGCACAGCGGTTGAGTGCTGGGCTGCGAAGCTGCCCACAGCCTCTGCAGTGCTAATTCGATCCCCGGCCACTGGTGAGGGTCCCACATGGTATGCAGACCTCTCCTGCCTCCTGCTGCTCCCCTCAGCAGTATACTTCCTTAGTCTGCCTGTTCTGCTCTCCGCTCTGGCTCTGGTGAATTCTCTCACCCTCCCGCACTTCTGACTGTACCCAGTGCTTGTATAAATAAATAAATAAATCTTAAAAAAATAAATAAATAAATTAGATGAAAACATACCACAGCAGAAAGTCAAACAGGCACAAACCCAAAAATCCACATCCAAATTAGGGAAAATATAAACTAATAATAACACTGCATAAACATACTTTAACTGCTTTTCAGCAGGCCCAAAGAAAGAAAATACTTCATCTTTTCTATATGATTTTCATGATTAATTTCTATCAATTTTTAAAATAACTTATAATCAGGCTACATTTTTCTTATAAGTGAAAAGAAGCTTCAAATGTGAAATGGAATCCTATCCCATCTCTGTAAGTTTTAGGATTCATAGCTGTGATGTGGGCTTTCAGTTCGGTCAAATGTAAACCTAATTCTATTCTAGGTCACAGAATTAATATACCAAAACTTATATCTGAAACTTTGACCCTAGGTATAAATTGGTTGTGGTAAGAGAGAAGCTTGGAGACCATGTGATCTCTTAGACTCTGTACTATCATTGCATTTTGAATCATGTTAAAAATCTATTTTATAATTGTACAGATATACTATAGAAATTACATGACAGCTGCTGTTCTCTTTTGTTCCAGATTAATATTTTTACCATCACTTAAACTTAAGTCTAAGTCATACTGTTTTTTACTATGTATCTTTTACCAATATTGTTACCACTTTTGTACGTGTTTCTCACTCTCTCTTTCTTTTACCAGTTGCTCTAACACTTACCGACCTTTCAGGACCAAAAATTTTTTTGGAAAGAAGTCCTTTCAAATTAACCTGTACTTTACTTACTTCTCTCCTATTTTGCTTTCCTTCTTTATTTAGCCCCCCAGCTAACATATTTTATTCCTTATAGTCTCTAGTAGTCTTATGATTATTTTCCTAAATGATCTGTGTGATTTTCAAAGGAAGAAGAAACATTTTACCTTTCCTTTATATATTCTTACTATCTCAAATGGCATTTGATGATATCCTTTTACATGCAGTGACTACAACAGTAAACAAGCAGCTCACACAGTGAAGAATAGGTGATTATTTAACTTTATGTGGACAGGCTGTGAGAAAAAATGATTTGATATGATTTTTTGGGCCAAAATTAATCTTCTTATTAATTGATCAACCTGAAAATTATTATTCTGTAAAAATGTTGAGAATATATTATATGTTTCCAATAGACAAAGGTTGGTGGTTTAAAAATGTTCATGGAGAGAAAATGAAAATGTGGAGGGGACCCAATGGACTATGGTGGAAGACTATGGGTCAGTTGGTGGTGGGTGGAGCGGGGTGACACAATTCTGAAGAGTAAGATCCTATGTCTCTTAATCATACACAGTGTTGTAAACCAATGTAACCTCAATGAAAAATCAATCAATTAATAAAATGTGTATGTACTTGGGTTGTTCAATGAGTTTCAATCTAGGGTTGTTCAATGAGTTTTTAGGTCTTAAAAATCTTTTACTCTAAGAGAGACAATGTTAAAAGGATAGGAAAAAAATTGCAGATGAGGGATAATATTTGTAAAATAAATAGCCAACAGGGGGCTAGAATCTAGAATGTATAAAGAACCCTCAAATTTTCAGTCCTTTTTTTTAAAAAAAAAAATAAAGCAGTCTAACTAGAAAATAGGCAAAAAGTGTAAAGAGACGTTTCATGGAAGAGGATATGCAATGGTAAATAAGCATATGACAAGATATCCAACACTATCAGCCATTAGAGAAATGCAAATTAAAGCCTCATGAGATACCACTCTTACCTACTAGAATGCCTAAAAAAAACAAAACAAAACAAAAAAACTGACAATATCAAATACTGGTAAGGATGTGGAGAAACTGGATCACTCATGCATTGATTGTAGAAATGAACCTGTCCACAGCCTCTGCAGTGTGAGTTAGATTCCCTGCCGGCCAGGGAGATACCTACATGGTACGGCAGACCTCTCCTGTTTCACCTGCTGCTCCCCTCAGCAGTGTTTTTGGTCCATCTGCCTGTCCGCTCTCTGCTCTGTCTCTGGTGAATTCCCTCCCACCCCTCTGGCCTGTGCCCCAGTTCTGTTATAAATAAAATAAATCTTAAAAAAAAAAATAAAACAGTGCAGTAGTAGGTAGTACAGTAAAATGTAGCCTTTTAAACAGCAACAATATATGCAGCAGCAACTATACATGCAACTGCCACACAATTCAGCAACATGCTATTGGGCATTTGTTTCAGAAAATGAAAATGTATGTTCACACAGATACCTATCAAGTTCACAGCA